AATTCGATTTGAGAACAGCAAGAACAAACTGACTTCACGTAAGATAGTTGTGCTCCGTTAGTTTCGCAATCGGAACCTATAGGGATAGAGACAAGGACTGTGCACGAAGAGGTGTTGCAGTAGAAGCGGAAATAGGTGGAGAAGAAGCTTCAACAGGTGGATCGTTAATGGCGATGGCCATTGGAGATGATACCATGTAAAGATATGAAGTGAAAGTGAAGAAAGAAGAGGAAAAAGCAAACCCTAACTTTTAGAGAGAAAAGTAATTGAATTCTGTAACTAACCTTTTGTTAGTTACTTTATATTGAATGAGTAAAATCAGAAAGATTACAAATGAGGTGTGAGTCACTCCTATTTATAGGAGATGAGGACACCTAGGCTAATAGCAACAATAACATAACAAAGAGGAGAATATTCTAATATTATAAAAGGAATATTCTAATATATGTATATTACAATGAGTAAGGACATTACTAAGAACTAACTCTTGAACATGACCTAATCTACAATGCCATAAAAGTATGAAGAAGTCAGATGTGTAAATATATAGGAAAGAGATTTAGAAATACATGGAGACCTTTGAAGTGAGAGATCCTTGACCTAGAACTTTATTAGAACATTGTGATTTCACAAGATAGATTATTATGGAATTCAAAATAACATGAGTTCTTTTTAGCAAATTGTGAAACACTCATAAGATTTTAAGCAATAGTAGGTGCAAGTAGAAGATTTTGAAGAGATAAAGGTACATCTGGTTAAGTGGACGATTCAAAATAAGTATTACCACTATAAGTGATGGGCTTTAGTGCCATTACTCATATAAATGTGTTCAGGTCCAAACTATTCATTAGACTCATGAAGTACATAGGATTCTGAAGTGAGATGAAGAGTAGCACCTTAGTTAAGGTACCAAAGAGAAAGTCTAGGATCATTGCCTCCAACACTCATATTCATAGCATAAGAATGAGATTGATATGGATAAGATGTGCATGGCCCATAATTTGGATTAGAATGAATATTTGACAGAGGTAGATGAGAAGGATATGGATGGTAAGAGGAGGGAAATTTGGATGATAAGACCTATGCCTAAGAGCAGCATAATAAGGCATGTCTGAAGGAAAGTGTTGATGCACAGAGGCAGAGAGAAAGTACAATAGGAGTTAGAGTAATTATTTCCATTGAAATAGGATCGATGCAGAGTACCATTATAATTGTCAAAAGGTGCATAGTAGCACCATGACACATCATAACCTAGACGGTTACAAAATTCACAAAAGTACCCGCCATGGCGTCCTAGAGACCTTCTTTGAGATGCACCATGGCCATCACGTCTACTGGGACAAGTATTTTTAATTGGCATTTAAAACAAAATCATGAAATTATTATTAAAAAATGTCATTAACATTAGCAACAATTTACAAGTGTGGTATTTAAATCGCATGGCAAAGTGTCGTCACAAGCATACAAGTCCTTAGTAACATTTCATAAATATTGCAATATCTACACTAGCAACATTTATTTTAGTAAATAATATTTTCGTTAATTAAATAATAAAAATGTTACTAAATGTATACTAATATTTAAAAATTGATACAAAATTTGAAAAAGTTGCCAAAGATAACATTTTTTTGACACCACCCCAATTACATGGTCTACAAAAAAAATAAACATTACATGCATCAATCGATGTGATCTATTGTTTAATGAGCTACATTCCTAACCTATAATAGGTTCATTGATGAACCAACATGAGGTAAGAAGAGATTATAAACAAGCAATAAGAGTTCATATTGAATTTATTAGCCAAGGGTATCAATATGATGAGAGCTAACTTGTGCACAATGTGCGAAGCAGAATTTGTGCTCCCTGATGTTTCAGATTGGCAACTAGGCCAGCATGGGTCACTGATGCTGTTCCCTGGAACAAAGTGGAAACAGTATAAGAGAAATTTTACAAGTCCTACTCACAAACTTGAACAATAAAGCAAACTGCTAATCATTGAAAACACAAAGTGTGATTCGATACGGACCGGATACACAACACGAATTGCTCGAATTGCTTCTGAATCACGATTTCCGTGAGTCTTAAACGGCGGCTCATGCTCCAATTCGGCTCACGACCAGTTTTAAAGATGACATTTTTGTTTTTTGTTTTAATCCCACATCAGAATAGGATGGTCTGAAGTTTTTAAATTGACCCAAATCTAAATTTTAACCCCTTTGCCTCTCAAATGTAGAAAGAACATAGTAAAAATCTCGTCCACAGTTTCTCATATGCTTCATTTTTTCTTCCTATCATGACTAATAAAATATGATGAGTTATATAACTTGAATTTGAATTATTTCTCATGTTATTGGTTGTGTTATGGTTTATTTTAGTATATTTAAACATTGATTATGAATCTAACAATTCAGAAGTCATGATTCAGAAAATAGGTCTTTCGATTCGCAATCTGAACCAGAGTCTGACTACTATGGTTATGAATCAAAATTGAATTCATATAACTTTATGTGAAGTCATTAGATTTCTCTCAAGCTCCTCCTACCAAAACAAAATCAGCACATGATGTATACTACTTCCTCAGGCTAGTGAGCTTAACCAAATAACTAAAGACATGAATCATAGCATTTCTAAGTAATAAAAACAACACAAAAACAATTAAAGTTCACTTGACTCTTCAGCAGTACCCAACCATCACTTCTTCATAAAACAGAAAGGACGATAGTAAAAACACAGCTTCTACAGTTTTCAAGAATTAACAAACTAATTCAGTTTACAAATAACAGAGTGCCAGAAATTCTCAGTTAATAACATTTAAACCTCAACAATCACAAAGCCAAACGCATATTCTATCCCCATTTTCTATCCAAATTATTTATTGAGAAGCCAACCCCAAGTTTTTATATTTCAGATTTAGCGTGTATTTTGTATGGATTATGTTTTTAATTTCAGTTTATAAACTGTGAGATTATAATCTTTAAAGATTATAATATGTTTATGTAGTGGTACAGTAGTTCAACTGGTGGTTCAGTAATTAAACCACATGTCGATTAAACCAGACATACCTACTTTTTTATATATATATATAAATCTATAACAAAAAATTTGAAATAAGTAGGTATTCAGATTTATAATCCATATTCATAATCTACTCCAAACTCACACAAACAAACAACATTAAGTCTTTAACAAAATCAAAATCCAAAGTGCAAAACATATATTAGTCCAAAATTATCACTTAACAAATGCAAAATACAAATAAATGACAGAAGTATCAATCCTTGAAGTTGAAGAATTGGTGAAGAATTAAAATTTTGAAATGTGAGACAGTGTATTTTCACTTTTCAGGGTTGAAGGAAACCATTTCCCGCCGTTTAGGGGATGAAATTTAAAAAAAATATAATGTACAAACCGGCCGATTTTAACCGGTTCACCGGTTTTCACCGGTTCTATTGCATATGCGGTATAACATATGTACCGTACCGGTTATGAATCCGGTTTTCCGGTTGAACCGGCCTGTACGGTACGGTTTTTATAAGATTATTTTTTACATAGTAAATTACAGAAAAGGGTATGAAGTTATTTGTTTAGGAAAGAGACCTAGTCTACAATGCCATAGAAAATATGAAGAAGTCAGATGTGTAAATATTTAGGAAAGAGATTTGGACATGCATAAAAACCTCTGGAGTGAGAGACCCATGACCTAGAACTTTATTAGAACCTTGTGATTTCACAATACAATCACAAGACAGATTAGTATGGAATTCAAAATAACATGAGTTATTTTTAACAAATTGTGAAACACTCAATATTTTTAGCAATAGTAGGAGCAAGTAGAAGATTTTGATGATATAAAGGTATATCTGGTTAAGTGGACGATTCAAAATAAGTATTGCCACTAAAAGTGAGGGGCTTTAGTGCCATTACCCATATAAATGTGTTTTGGTCCAAACTATTCATTAGGCTCATAAAGTACATAGGATTCTAAGGTGATATGATGAGTAGCACCTAAGTTAAGGTACTAAAGAGAAGGTTTAGGATCATATCCTCCAACACTCATATTCATAACATAAGAATGAGATTGATATGGATAAGATGTGTCTGGCCGGTAATTGGGATTGGTAATTTGGATGAGAAGGAATATTCGATCGAGGTAGATGAGAAGGATATGGATGGTAAGAAGAGGGAAATTTGGATGATAAGACCTATGCCTAAGAGCAGCATAATAAGGCATGTCTAAAGGAAAGTATCGATGCACAGAGGCAGAGAGGAAGTACCATAGGAGTTAGCGTAATTGTTTCCATTGAATAGGAACGATGCAGAGTACCACTGTGATTGTCACAAGGTGCACAGTAGCATCATGATGCATCATAACCTAGACGGTTAAAAAGCACACAAAAGTGCCCATCATGACGTCCTAGAAACCTTCTTGGAGATGCACCACACCCACGACGTCCACCACGAAAAGTACCATGGAAATTTTAGTGAAAACTATAGTAACTTCATACGCAGTTCTCTTTGGTACGAGTATGTAATACGTGATACGTTATCCTATCACATACCAGTACACTAAGGGCATACTAATACACTCAGTAGGATTTCTATAGCTCCTTTTACAGTCATTTCTAGTGCTACTTGTAGGTTTGAATCAACTTTTAATTAACCGTTGCAAAAATACCTCAGGATATATCCTTTCTTGTTTGTTGTAACTCATTAATGGTTGAATTCTTGTTTTGGTTCGGAACTTCTCTTTCTGTAATTATTCCTCCGGATTAAGCCTACAAAATACTCCAGAGGTGCACAAAATATGATCAATTTGGCACTTAACAACATGGTGAAGTGAAAACAAATAATTGAACTTGACATTACATATTTACTCATAAACTTAAGGTTTGTGGCTTTCTACACTAATATTTTTGCCCTCTTCCCTATGTAAAACTTCTTTACTATCCAATCACATTTGAAATATCAAACAAGATGTTTTGTGAGTTGAATTACCAAAAGGCGATCTATTAATTAAGGTATAACTCTTAGGAAGGTTTGGCACCTCAATGTCGGTTATTTGCCATATGGGGTTGTAGTATGCTCCAAGGGTTGGGTTATTCGCCCATTAAAGTGATATGTGAACTGGGTTCAGAAAGTCGTGAGACAGGTCGATCGATATTGATAAGTAAGAGAAACAAGTAAACGAAAAAATGTGAGAAGTGGGAATGTAGAGTGCACAAGATTTGGGATCAAATTAAAAAGATTTTGAAGGTTAAAAGTAATGAGAATCTAAACAACTGGTCTAATGACTCTCTATGAATTCAATAAATAGAATTTTTGCATTAAAAAGTTTAAAGTTGTGGTTTCCCATAAATTTTTATATAACTAATAAGACCTTTAAATTAATCATTCTTGTCTTTGAAGAGTAAAATAAATGTTAAGACTCACTAAAGATTCTAAAGCAAAATCTTATGCATTCAATATTTCTAAAAGTAAACGTTGTGCTTTATAATCCAAATTTTGTATTTGGATTCCAAATTTAGTTTTTTAATTATTTGTTTCAATAGTTATAGTCAAACATAACATATTCCTTTCTTTAGGGTTCTATTGTGAGACGTTCTAAAGTTTTTCATTTCCCTTTATTCTTCATAAACCCTAAATGAATAGGGCTCCATCATAAACCCTAAATGAATAGGGCTCCATCCAAATCACTATATGAAAATTAACATTAAAACACAAATGGATACAAACTATAGACAACTCAACAAAAAGCTAAAGAAATCTTGCTTCTCTCCTCTCTTGGAAATACGTTTGCCTTACTTAAATCTTTAACTTTCAAGACAAGTATTTTTAATTGGCATTTAAAACAAAATCATGAAATTAATCAAATTATTATTAAAAAAAATGTAATTAACATTAGCAACAATTTACAAGTGTGGTATTTAAATCTCATGGCAAAGTGTCTTCACCAGGATACAAGTCCTTAGTAACATTTGATAAATATTGCAATATCTTCACTAGCAACATTTATATAGTAAATAATATTTTTGTTAATTAAATAATAAAAATGTTACTAAATGTATACTCAATATTTACAAATTGATACAAAATTTGAAAAAAGTTGCCAAGGATAACATTTTTTTGACATCAACCCAATTATAAGGTCTACAAAAAATAAACATTACATGCATCAATTGCTGTGATCTAATGAGATATATTCCTAACCTATAATAGGCTCATTGATGAACCAACATGAGATGATAAGAGATTATAAAAAAGCAATGAGTTCATATTGACTTTATTAGCATACGGTAAGCATTTATCAATATGAGAGCTAACTTGTGCACAATGTGCTAAGCAGAATTTGTGCTCCTTGAAGTTTCAGATCGGCAAGCAGAATTTGTGCTCCCTGGAACAAAGTAGAAACAATATTTAGAGAAATTTTACAAGTCCTACTCACAAACTTGATGAAGATAGGTGATGATATTGATGAAGATGGATTATTAGATATGAAAGGTGTAAGAGATGGTGTTACATTGGAACTTATAGGAGTAGAACGAGCCTGTGCGGCATGACACTGATGGACTATGGCAGAGAGAACAAGACATGAGGAATCAATGGAAGTTCTATTGTTAGAGGAGATAGGTACAGGAACATGGGGGAATCACAAACTTATAAAACACTACATCCTTGCATATGTATAGTCTACCATTCCTCGAGAGACGCTTATAACCCTTGTGAATTGCAGAGTAGCCTAAGAAGGTATACTCGACTAATTTGAGTTCCAATCTGTTGTTATCGGGAAATGATATGCAAGATCATTTCCAGCACATGACCATACTACCGTAGTTGTTGTGAAATACAGGCATTGTAGAAAGGCGGAAGGGAAAAGAAAGAACCAATATTGAACAACAGTGACTAAAAAATTGAAATTAATAGAACAATAGTTTTACCTCAGCAAAAACTGCAACTACTTCGGGAAGATAATGATTTTCGACACCTATAAGTTCTTTATCTGACCTGAAATTGAATGCAAGTGTGTGTAAAAACTAAATACATATATATGATTAACATTAAAAATGATAGGCAACAAGAACAAGAGGTCGCATGTTAGCCAAATAGCATTCAGTCAAAAATGTGTTCCACAGATCAGAATTCTACCTTTAAACCATTTAACAAAGTTGGTCATGCACAACTATAGCCTCTACTGAATAACCTTTTATAGGCAAGCAACAAAGCCAGACAGGAACAACCTGCTAACCAAACAATAACCAATGAATGTTAGAAATCAAAGCCAGAAGCAGAGGATTTTTTATGCTGAACATTTCTACAAGGATTTAGAAAATTATTGTCAGAACACAACATATCTTATCCTAACCATAACTTCAATGATAAGAAATATTACAAGATGTAAATTCAAAAGGCCTCCGGCCTCAAATTACGATTTATGAACATCAAAACAATACAAATCATGAACAAATGTAAAAGGCCTCTGGCCTCAAATTATCCAACAACATACAAATACAATTAGACAAATCGAAAAGGCCTCAGGCCTCAACTTATCCAACATATCGATACAAGCAACAACGACCAAGCTTTTATCCAAGATATTGATACAATTATACAAATCCAAAAGGACTCAAGCCTCAAACTAATGATATTAGAAATCAAAACAGTATCATGATACATATTTAAAAGGCCTAAAATTGTCCAATAAACAATACTACAAGTCCACAACACATATCCAACCACAACAATTAACACAGAATGACAGAAAACATTCAAAACAGATTGTAACAAACAAGACATAAAAACCTCCTAGGTGGTAGCAACAATACTAAAGAGTCCAGCAAAGAAGTTGAAAGCTTGAAGGTGATCTCTTTGTCTTCCTACCTAGACCTTGAAAATAAAAAGAATAAATTAAGTTTCTAAAAATCTAATTAATTTAACTACAATCAAATTAACAAAATCGAGGGGACAAAGACTTTTTAAGAAAAATGTTCATCCTTTTTCCTTTATCAACAAACAATAGTTGTTATGAAGAAATTTGAAATGTTTTAGCAAAAAATATCTAATCTAAAAAATTTGAAATTTGATCCCTCTGATACACTATTTGAAAAACACAAACCTACCCATTTAGATTTGAAACAGGATTTTACAATCTAAGTTTTAAATAGAAAAATAACATTAATCACATACCCAGATAGAGATTGATGAATCTCTTGGGATCATGAATAGTATAACTTCACTTCTTCCACTGTCACAGACATAAAAGCAAACATAACAATCAACCTGATTCAACAATCATGATTAAAAATACATACCCAACAACAAAAAATACAAGTATTCAACCATCAAGATTAAAAAAAGAGCTAAAAAGCATATTCATCCATAAATTTAAGGCAAAATAATAACAATTTTCTGTTGATGCACACAAAACATAACATGGAGGAAGTGGTTAGAGCTGAAGGGTTATAGTAGAAGCAAAATCACGTGAGTGGAAATGAAGAAATAGAACAAGAATAGTGGAGAGTGAAGTGAGAACTTTCTATTTTAGGGGTTTCCTCTTTGAGGGTTAAGGAGAAAATATCTTTTTTAATGACATGTGTAGAAAATAGAAATATCTGCTTTTTATTAGACGTTACCCTTCCATACGTTACCTTCGTGTGTAAAAATATCTGCTTTTTATCACCTTTACAGTTTTTCTTTTTCTTTTTTCCTTTGGGAAACCAAACTATGAAATAAAATGATTCAAATGAATATTCAGATCCGCGGATACCCATAAATAATATCTGTAATTGATTAGGTTTATGTTTTGGACACGTGGATAATTGAGATTCGTAATTTTAAAACTCGCTGTTAGATGGTTCTGGGTTCGCATAATAAGGTACTTAGACTTGTGGTTACCCGGAACTACTATTTTTTCCTAAATTTAATTATATATATATATAGCAACGTAATTGTAATATCATATTAATATATATTGTGATATCATATTAATTCATAATTATAAATATCATATTAATTCATAAATGTAATTGTTATATTGTTAAACAATGATATTATGTTGTTAATTCATATGTATGATATAATGTTATGTTAATTGAAGAGTTCTTACTGAATTTTTCATCCTAATTTTGAAATTGTTTTTAATGTTTTTTTGAGTAAAATGAGTTGAGTTTAATAGTCAAATTATGTTGTGTTTTAAAATAAGTTTTATAATTTTTCTCTCTTGTAGATTGTCTAAATTACATATAATTTTTCTCTCTTGCAATTATTTTTAATAATTTTTAATTTATGGGTACTCATGGATTCGTTGGGTACCCAAGGATCTGCAGTTAGTATACCAGTGTATATTAGCACGAGTATGGGGTGAGTCTGGGTCCAAAAATAAAACAATGGGGCTAGTTCGGGTAATCCACTACTCAGACCCATCCAGATTCATTATCATCCTAAACCAAACGGACTCTTACATATATTTGGGAGTTATGAGAGATAAAGAAGCAAATGAATTGAAGGGGAATGAATGAAGGTAAATCTACCACTGTGAAATTTGATAGAAGCAAATGAATTGAAGGGGAATGAATGAAGGTAAATCTACCACTGTGAAATTTGATAGGATGGGATTAGAGTAATGATAATGAGATAATATTGTTTTATTCTTCCTTAAAAAATCTAATTAAAAAATTAACAATGAGAAATGTACAAAAATAAATTATAAAATTTTAGTAAATATATTTAGATATTTTGACATGTTTGTATGTAGAACCACAATTTGATGAAATCATGAAAATGGACATAAAAAAGGTTTTAGAGGCTCAAGAAAACCTCCAAAATATTTCATTTTGTTCCCCCGACTCTCAAACAAGGAAGATTTTTCCAAAGTCATCACTTCTCTTTCATCCCCTCCAAAACAAGACTATCAAACAAAGCCTTAAAATATTATTATAATTATTATATTTTCCTATATAAGATTATAGAATTAAAAAATAAATGAAGCCATTAAACTTGGATTAGCTCCTATATTTTCTTTTTCTGTAAGTTTTTTACAAGCTAAGTCTATTACCCAAAAAGCTTAGTTTATAAAAAAACTTCTAAATTAAAATTAAGAAGTAAAAGAATCATAATCAAACATGTATTATACAAATAGTTTATTGAAGTAATTGATAAAAGTTTAGGTTTAATTGATTTGTTGTTAGATATAATATAAGAGTTGGGTGCACTTTACTACACACCAGGTTAGGGTTGAAAAATATTATCTTCCACAAATGTTTTTCTGGACCTAGTCAAATTCATTTTTTTTTTGGTGTGAAATGTACGGCTAAAAAACAATTGTGGTCCCCACTATGTCAGATCATGTTTCTTTCTCCTTCAAATCATCTACTTTATCCTCGTGCATTCCCTTTGACACACCTTATCCAACCAACATGCATTTACCATCATTAACCATAATCTTGCACCTGGGCTAAAAGCTATCTATCAATTGACTCTTATATCAATTGTTGGTGCATCAAAAGCGATCATTGTGTAGTGTTGACCACAAACAATCAAATAAAGGATATAAGAATAAATAGAAGAGAAGAAATCAAAGACTTTGATTACGGAATTCGGTCAATTGTGTCTAAGTCCCCAGGAGTATTGAACGACTACCAATATATTATAGAGAATAAGGATTACAAATTGTACAATACTCATGGCCCAAGTACTCATGTGGTGTTTCTATTTGGTGTTTTTGTTTGATGATTCTATTTGATGCACATTATAATAAGGGACTTGAGTCAAACATATAACATTTGTTATTCTACTCTATTCTTTTCGAATACTAGACAATGTGGAACTAATATAATAACATATTTCAAATATCCACGCCAACAAAAGTTTAAACTATCTTATGCATCTAGGTAAGCAGCATCAACGTCATGATTGTTCACCTTATGAAGCCAAAGAGTAGTGAGGGGCTCCAACCGGAATGAAATATCAGCTGCTTATAGAGTACCATAATGTTGAGACAAACTCTTATTAGAAACATAATATGCAATTTTGTTTCCTTCCCAAGAAAACAGTTCGGAAAAAAAAGATAACCATGGATCTCTAACTGTGTTTGTGAGTTGAATTTTGGATGAGAAGAAATTGAAAGAGAAGACTTCAAAATCATCTTACAAGTGATCTATTTCTTTTCCTTCCTCCCCAGAACTTAATCGTAAAGAGACCTTAAGACTCAGAAGTGCTTCCTAACATTTGTACTAGTCTCTTAAGGTATGGTTTCTACAATAGGAGATTCATTAGCCAACATATTATAAAGGGGACAGAGATGACTCTAATCCTTGCAATCATCTCTATTAGGAGCATGTCAGCCAACTTTTCAAAGTTCCAATTGCCATCTTCGTTAACTAAATTGTGTACCAAGCAAAGGTTCTTATGGTTATTCCTATTGGAATCGAACCATTGTGACACTATGATATTCGCCTGAACATTATTCAATTCATGAGTTTTGATGATAAACTAATTATTACACTTGTACAGTATAGATGAGACATTATATGACCCAACTTTGAGCATATTATTTTTGGTTAAGATAATGAGTTATTTTTATGTGCTTAATTAATATAATTATGTCCATATGTTAATTCAATGATCATAAATTTTAACTATTATAATTTGTTTTATATGAGTTCCTTAATATGTGATACTATGGTTGGTGCTTATAATCTTGTTATATGTTTATGTTTATATCGCATAATATATCTATGAAAAACTATAAGAAATTTGGACAGTAGAAAAGTAGAAATTGTTGGTGCAGCGGAAACGATCATTGCGCAGCGTTGGTCACAAACAATCAAATAATGTATAGAATAAATAGAATAGAAGAAATAAAGAATTTGGTAATGGGGTTCGGCCAATTATGTCTACGTCTCCGGGAGCGTTGAACAACTACCAAGATATTATTAGAGAATAAGAATTACAAACTCTATCACACCCATGGGCCCAAATGCCCATGGGTTGTTTCTATTTGGTGTTCATATATGTGGTGCACATTACAATAATGGACTTGAGTTCAATATATAACATTGGTTACTCTATTCTGTTCCAATACTAAGTGATGTGAGACTAATGTAATAACATATTTCAAACATTCACAACAATGTCCACCTTGATTGAAATACATGAATATCTCGCTCATTAAGAAATCTACACAAGATTCTCCACCTTAGCGAATATCTGACTTCACCTTGTTCAATGCATAACTCTCTCCAATAACTCCACATAAGAGTCTACTACCATTCAGCATAAACCTTCAGAGTATACTTGACGGTATTACCAAGAGCCTAGCTCTCCAAACTTGTAGTCAGCTTCCCGTACCGCCATCAAATGGAACATGCCGCCTAGCCACCTATTGTTGGGAAGTCTTTCGATATATGGAACCTCTACACAAAAGTTCACCAACAACCGTCCTCTTCAATACTCAGTCAAACTAAACCTTGGAGCTTCCATGGAAAGCATCAACCGCTACCATCATTGTCTAGCCCGACAATTATAGTTCAAAATAACTATCATACTCCACCATAAGGAATATACCCACAACACACCTTTGCGTAATGTTAACCAATGTCTGTGTCACACACTTGCATCCAAGACAATGCCCATGTCACACCCTGCATCTCTATCAATGTCCGTGTTACAACTTGCATCAAAGTCAATGTTATGTTACACTCTGCATCAAAGTCAGTCATCACCTCTGTGCTTTTGTGGATCTGCTAACAATTAATATCTTTCACCATGACGTCTCAAACACACCATTTGGATATTTCACTTCTCATATCAAATGATATCATTATCTCCAACATTGAGAGATATATTGTCAGCACTTGTCTCAAAGCGTAATTCAACACATTAGTCTTTATCTCACCTTGATCCTAATCCACTACATGAATTTCTAGGATTCTAGATCAACACATATCGCCCCCACCATAGTTCCGCCATGTTTTCTTCTCTTTCAACTCATCTCCTTTATCCTTGTGTTGTACCTTTGGTGCACCTTATCTAACCAACATGTTTTCACTTCTTTTGCCTTTATCTAGCATACCAATTATTGGTGCAGCGGAAATAATCATTGCGCAGCGTTGGTCGCAAGCAATCAAATAATGCATAGAATAAATATAAGAGAAGAAACAAAGAATTTGGTAGGCCAATTATGTCTACGTCCCCGAGAGCGTTGAGCGGCTACCAATATATTATTAGAGAATAATGATTACAAACCCTAGCACACTCATGGACCCAAGTGTCCATGAGTGTTTCTATTTGGTGCTTATATCTGGTGCACATTACAACAAGAGACCTGAGTCCAATATATAATATTGGTTACTCTACTCTATTCCAATACTAGGTAATGTGAGACTAATGTAATAACATATTTCAAGCATCCACAATAGAAACAATGCTTAAAATAGAAAATATTATGTTTCATTTGCATCCAAAACGAAGTGTCCAATAAGCCATTTGAATGGAATTTGCGTCTAAAGGCGTGTTCGTCAAAGGGTTTAAACTTTAAACTTGTGCGTTTAATACAAAGTCTATCCAAAGAATGAT